TGTACCGCTAATGTGGACGTGACACAGCACCTGGTCGTGCCCTGCCCAATTTGATGTAGATTTGATTGCCCGATGCAGAAACGATGACGTTTACCATTGCACATTGTGATTGCATTTGTCCGAAATACGCCACCTTGACTACTACCAGCTCCCGTCCATGGCAGCTTTTCCGCCTCACTTTTTGAGCGCATCCTTCGAGGTGGGCACGTCATCATCGCTGTCCCATTCGCTTGCCCCCTTTACTCGCGCGCTGCGTCCATCCGGCTGCGATGGCTGACCATCAAACGGATTTCCGAGTCCCGCTGGAGGCGCTTCGAGTTTGTTGCGTTTGACGTTCCGTCGTTCATCCGGCGAGTCGAATGGGTCGTTGGAGAGAGCAGCAGGTCTAGACTTTGAGGCTTTGTGCGAGCGCTTCGTGGCATCCGAAGCATCTTGAGCTCGTCGAGTCTGCATGTGGCTGTCGTAAACGGAGAGGAAATCACGTTGACAAGGATGATTTGGTCATGGACCCCGACGCGCGAATAGCGAGCAACCTTGCATGGCTCACCTGGCACTACCTGGCCTCTTTGCGGGATCAGCCGAGGCTTTGAGCAACGCATCTATCCTCTTGACCTCCACGAGCTCACGAGAAGGCGCCTTGCCACCATTTCCGGCTTCATCTTTCTCTGCACTTGCAGGCTTTGACATTTCCTTGCTCAACGCTTCTTGAGCTACAATGACGCCCAATATTTTGCGCAGCGAGCTTTGTAAATCTTCAATTGTTTGGTCAAAAGGTGCTTTGGGTGAGTTCGATGCTCCAGAGGTCTCTGTGTTGGCCAGAGCTGACTTTGATCCCTCTTTATTCGAGCTCGCCTTGGCTTGAATCTTCTGATACTCCTCTCGCCTCCTCTGATGCTCCCTCTCCCCACGCTCGTACTTGTTCTGCAGCCAACAATTAACAAGCTTCGCAGCCTCGTCTTGTTGTTCCGCCTGCGCATCCGCAGAGGAGGAGGAGGATGCGGAGCCCAAAAGGCAAGCGAGAGCTATTTGGGAAGGAGGATAGAGCAGCTCCAGGTCCGTAAGACGCGCTGACCAGAGCAGAGATTGAGCTCTCGGCAGCAAAGCGTGTAGCGCTGAGAGCGGGCTCGGCTGTAGGCTCTGAAGGCAGTTTTCGCCCACGGGAAGCAAGACAGCATAAGAATCGAAATCGAGACTCGCGCTGCAGTCTGCTTGCTCATCAAGATACCCACTTGCATATCATACACGAGCCCTCTCAGGGCTCTTCCGGGCCCGTGAACGCTCAACTCCCAGCCTATCGCATCCGCCACTCCAAATTCTAATCCTCGGATCGTCTGCTCCATCTCCTTGACAGCATCTTTTCCTGGAGCCTTTCCCGCAATCTTTGTGGCGAAGTAAGAGAGCGGCACGGTGTGAGAAGTGGATTTGAGTGAGAGATAGAGGCAGGTCAACCTGTCGCATAAAAAGTGAGGGTGGAATGAAGTGTCAG